TCGCAGTGTTCATCCAACTTGACGTTTCTCTTTGTGGAACATTCTACATCATTCCTCGAACATTCTGCCTATTTATCGTTGTTCGCTTCGCGTTGCCGCAATATTCGTCACAATAGAAAGGTTTTGTAATAAAACAGTATTCTCGCTCCCACACATAAAATCGGCTCCTTTACTTGTGCAGAATGTTGCTTACTCTATAGTTTCTAGTGATATTAGTAGTAAAACCAAAAATTCTTCATACTAAATATTCGTTGGCTCCACCTTCCTTTGCGTAATTTTCTAGAACAAGTGTAGAATAGCGACCGTTTAGCTATAAAATAACCAAAAATGCCGCTTGATAGAACTTTTTCCGCTGATTTCAACGATACCAAATTTATTTGGCGCAGGTAAAAAAAGGGGAAATGTTTAGTAGCGCTCACATCGTTTTCAGGGTGGGGCGGAGGGGGGAGGGGGCGGAGCCCCCCAGGCCCTCCCCACTAGAAAGGGGACAGTCCCCGCTTTCTAAAAGGGCGTATTTCCCACTTGGGCTCCTCCAACAGGGGAACCGTTTGAAAAAGGGGGAAAAACAGAATTTTCTTAGGCAAACTGAGCAGTTTGAAGTGGAATACGACCCAACTAACAGAAACCGTGGGATTATTTAATCAAACAAATTACGCCAAATTAGATATCGGGCGATTTTGAACAAAGAATAAAAAAGTTAATTAAAAATATAAAAAAAACAAGTTTTTATAAAAAAAATGTTCTCGTTAACAAATGTATTTTTGCGTAGAATTCCTTTTTGCGTAGGCGGCCTTCGGCCGCACTTAGGGATTATAACCCTCAGGCAGTAAAATTCTCCTTTCTGTGTTGCCAAAGAAGGGGGGCTGAACACCTTTTGCAGAGAACACCTTTCTGCGTAGGCGGCCTTCGGCCGCACTTAGGGATTATAACCCTCAGGCAGTAGAATTATCCTTTCTGTTTTGCGAAGAAAAGGAGCTGAACACCTTTTGCAGAGAACACCTTTGTATATTTTTAATGATTACTGGGTTATATCCTATCTTCTTATGTCTCTCATTCTTTTGCATATTTTGGAGTTTGACAGCTGAACTCCGCCATTTAATTTGCATATGCAACCAAAGTCAGACGCGTGATTTTGAAGGTGTTTTTATTTAATGAATTGTGATTAATTGATTAATATTAAAGTCATAAAGCAAGTTATAACTAATCGAGTGAAGTGTAAAGTGAAGGGGAATACAAAAATGTATTGGTGAAGTGGTTGCATTAAGGAGAATAGGAGTGATAAATGTACGCTAATTTCCGAATTTTACAAAACGGGACAAATTTCAAACCCAATTTGTAAATAAATTAGTGACCAAAATTTACAAAAGTGAGTGTTAAAGTAATGCGTAGACCCTTGACTACAAGTGTGTGGAATTTTTTTTGGATCGGGCCACCCCTTTGGACGGAATAGCTCGAAATAGTTGTGAGCGCTACTAAGCCCCACCCACGGAATGCGGGGAAATGTTTAGTAGCGCTCACATCGTCTTTAGAGTAGGGGCAGAGGAGGGATGGTCGGAGCCCCACGAACCCTCCCCACTAGAAAGGGGATAGTCCCCACTTTCTAAAAAGGCGTATTCCCCCCTTGGGATCCTCCCACAGGCCCCTAGGGAACCGTTTGGAAAAGGGGGGAAAAAAGAATTTTCTTAGGCAAACTGAGCAGTTTGAAGTGGAATATGACCCAACTAAGAGAAACCGTGGGATTATTTAATAAAAGAAATTACGCCAAATTAGATATCAGGCGATTTTGAAAAAAGAATAAAAAAGTTATGATGGAACGAATTTCCGTCATCCCTTGTCAAATTTGGTTTGGAGACAAACCGGTTTCGGCGTTGTGCCATCTTCAGTGTCATTTTTCGTTCTGCATAATTTTTGTTGGTTGCTCGTATTTATACTCCTTGTTATCTACCTCTTTCTTTTGTTAGGTACGTATTTTTAGTTTTGCAGTGTTTGCGGTACTCAATAGGTAGATGAATTGTTTTGGCTCGTTTTTGACGGCAGGTAGAAGTCCGTGATTTTAACCCCCTTTGTTTTTGCAGTTGGTGTATTCCCTTCCATATCTGTCCTTAACATTTTGTTGTTGTCATTCTTCTTCTTGTACAGTAGTTTAAGAGGTTCAAACAGTACGTCCGATGCAGTATTTATTTGCTCATTTATTATTTGTCCTTTGAAGGTCTTCTGTTTATATATTTCCAGAAGACCTTCAAAGGACAAATAATAAATGAGCAAATAAATACTGTGTTTTGCGAAGAAAAGGAGCTGAACACCTTTTGCAGAGAACACCTTTGTATATTTTTAATGCTTACTGGGTTATATCCTATCTTCTTATGTCTCCCATTCTTTTGCATATTTTGGAGTTTGACAGCTGAACTCCGCCATCTAATTTGCATATGCAACCAAAGTCAGACGCGTGATTTTGAAGGTGTTTTTATTTAAGATATAACTAATCGATTGAAGTGTAAAGTGAAGGGGAATACAAAAATGTATTGGTGAAGTGGTTGCTTTGAGGAGAATAGGAGTGATAAATGTACGCTAATTTCCGAATTTTACAGAAAAGGACATATTTCAAACCCAATTTGTAAATAAATTAGTGACCAAAATTTACAAAAGTGAGTGTTAAAGTAATGCGTAGACCCTTGACTACAAGTGTGTGGAATTTTTTTTTGGATCGGGCCACCCCTTTGGACGGAATAGCCTGAAAAAGTTGTGAGCGCTACTAAACCCCACCCAAAAAATAAAGAAGAAGATATAAGAGGTTTATTTGTTTTTTTTTATTATCACTAAATTGTTGAAACCCAAAAGTAGATCATGATAAAATATGTAATATCGAATTAAGGATAATAACTTGTACTTTCTAAATAATATAAAATTCTTTACCATTAATTATGCAGTTTTTTCAAAAAAGGTTATTTCATGAAAAAATAATATTTGTTCGTTTTTTAGTGGTTTTGGTTTAAAACTTCAAAAACCTATAAATTATGTACATCAGCTGAAGAACAAATTAATTACCTTTATGGTGACGTGATTAGCCTTTTAATCGGTTATAAAGTTTATTAGTAAAATATCTAAAACTGAACTTTAACCTTCTAGAACCTCTTCATTTTGTACTTGCGCCAAATCATTTTGGCATGGTTGAAATGAGCATAAAAAGTTCTATTGATCTGCATTTTTCGTTTTTGCATAGCTGAACTGTCGGTATTCTAGATTTGTTCCCGGAAATGACGAGAAACTTAAATCAAAAATGCATATTTTTATGTATTGTTTAGTATTTCCATTAAAACACCAAATATATTACAAATTCGCATAGAATTAATAATACACATTTTACTTCTAATTGTATACTTTGCGTACTTTTTGTAGAATGGTACCTACTACCGCTTTCGCAAAATGCGATCACATTCTTCCCCTTTCTCCTACTTCCAAAATACAAATCTAGATAAAGGAGTGTAAAATATTAGCTGTCACAAACAGTGTTGCCAGGTTTTCAGCATGAGAAATCGTCCCTCTTTGTCTGAAAAAACGTCATTTCCTACCCGAAAACGTCTTTTCCATGTATGCACGCAGAATTGTTCTTTTTTTTATTATATACAAAGGTACATGCATATGTACGTAAGGTATATTAAAATGTCATTTTGACAGAGCACATTTAAAATTCATTAGTGGTATTAGTGAGCAAGTGGCCTGGCACTCTGGCAAAACAGCAGATGAGCTCAAGCAACGACTGTTGACAACAATTTGGTGAATACCACTATTGTAAACTGGTTTGAGATCGTTAATATAAAAATCCTTTTATACATACACTTGTGATCAGTTGATTAAGTCATCAACATTTTGATCGATTTTGGCTGTTTTTCTTTTGTTTATTTAATGTTTATTATTTCTTCATAAAAGCCTAGCTCATTGTATAACTAACACAATATGAATACATATTTCAAACTTTGTGCAAAAATTATAAAAAATCTGCAAACTTTTAGCTAGATATTCCAGTTTTTATTCAGATATCCACAGTTAGTACTCGCTCATGTCCGTCCACATATCCACCAACA